CCCCCCCAAAAAAAAAACCCACTATAATTTCTTTATAGTGAAATAGTAGGGGCTGGGTATGTGACTTAGTGGTAGAGTGCTTGCCTTGCATGCATGAAGCCCTGGGTTGGATTCCTCAATACCACATAAACAGAAAAGGCCAGAAATGGCGCTGTGGCTCATGTGATAAGAGTGTTAGCCTTGAACTAAAAGAAGCTTAAGGAAAGTGCCCTGAACTGGCAAAAAAAAAAGAGAGAAGGAAATATTGTAGAAATGATTTTGGGGACTTACTGGGACCTTGAAACCCACATTTTGAGATCTAATTGTGAGGCTTTTATTAATATTTAATTTTTAAATTAAACTATATAACTAGGTTTGCCTCTTTGCTAAAAGAGAAAATTTATTGCTGAAAGTTTGTGTAAAGACTTTAAAGTCTTTAGACTTGTTTTGACTTACTTTTTATTCTGTGTTTATTATTAAGATGTGAATTTACTTGATATTTTAGGATAAAAAATTGTGCCGAAACAGCCAAGGCTTATAAGTTAAATCTTGTCTCAAAAAATAAAAAATTGTAGTTTTAATATATTAAAATACTCATTTTAGGCTGGCATTCCAGACCCTCCAAACATGTCAGAAGAACTAATCCAATTGAAAGCAAAAGAGCGACACTTTTTGGAACAACTGTTAGATGGAAAAAAATTAGAAAACTACAAAATTCCAGTACCAATCAATGCGGAACTACGGAAATATCAGCAGGTAAGGTTAATACTCTTGTACACATGATTAGCCACTATTCTTTCAAATGTACCTTATAGGGTTTTTACAATTGATTTAATAAATCTTGGGTTTAGTGTCTTAACTATTTCTCTTTCGCTTATATGAAGATTATAGGTGTCCAACTTTTCTTTTAGCAAAAAACTTTGTCATCTGTTTACATCTACAATTTTTTTTATGTCTTTTTACAGGATGGTGTGAACTGGTTAGCATTTCTTAATAAGTATAAACTTCATGGAATATTGTGTGATGACATGGGCCTAGGCAAAACTTTACAGTCCATCTGCATTCTAGCAGGAGATCACTGTCAGAGGTAAAGCAAAATGCTTTAAAATGAGGTTTCCAGAATCAGAAATGTCAAACAAGCTGATTACTTTATTGTGTTTTGCTTTTAAAGGGCTCAGGAATATGCACGATCAAAATTGGCAGAGTGCATGCCACTTCCTTCTTTGGTGGTTTGTCCACCAACATTAACAGGTCACTGGGTGGATGAAGTGGGTAAATTTTGCTCCAGAGAGTATCTTAATCCATTGCACTATACTGGACCTCCCACTGAAAGAATAAGGTATGAGCTCTATAGCAACAAAAATAAATGTTTAATTTTCTATGTGGTTTTGAAGAATATATTAAATTTGAATTCTAGCTACTTTTCGTATATGACAACCTTTTTCTACTTAAGAAAGATGAGTGGAAAGTGGTGTCGTAGCTCAAGTGATAGAGCGCTAGCCTTGAGCTGAAGAGCTGAGGGACAGCACTCAGGCCCGGAGTTCAAGCCCCATGTCCTACAAAAAAAAAAAAAAATTTACTTTGGGAAGATAGTAACAGTGAAGGTGAGCATTTCTTTTTGGACATTGTCACTCCTTTCCTTGCTCTCTTCCAGTTTTTCCCTCCTATTCACACCCACAGTTTGTTGTTCTTTTTTTAACTGCTTTTGTTTGTTTGTTTTTGTATCTTTTTTGCTACTGGGGATCAAACCTAGGATATTGCCCTTACTACGAAAGTGCTTTGCCACTGACATCCCAGTCCCCACAAGTTTTATAGTTCATTTTCAATGTAGTATTTAGAAAGTACCACAGCTGCATTTGTTTGCCCTATGTCCCTCCATTTCTGTACCCTCCTTACCTCCTAAAGACACAAAAAGTAAAATAAGAAAATTGAAAACGAAGAAGAAAACTAGTTTCCATTATCTATTGAGCTTTTTAAGTATTGAAGTTAGGAAACAAGTAGAATCCCTTCCTAGTTTTATATGTCCATTTATAGAGCCTTAAGACCGTAGCTTCTCCTTGATACTTCAGTTATCTATTTTCATTCTCTGACCACTTTTTTCTGTTCCCCTTCATTCTGCTATTTCTTCTTCCTTCGCTCTTCTTAAAGGTGCTTTTGGTCCAAAGTGACTGCTGTAGCTACCCATTTGTGGCAACCCAAATTTGTTATAGCTTTACCCCTTGCTGTTAACGCCAACATCTCTAGATATAAATTTTTATAATATAAAATGTTTCTAGATATAAATTTTAAAGAATGGAAATGATTATGCTAATCATAAAATTGTTTTAATTAACTTAAAATTTGGCTGTTCACAGATTACTCATTCAGTCTGTAGGTTTGCTGCTCTTCTGAATTTTTAGTTTTAGTATGAATATTTACTGATCAGACACTTGGGGGTGAGGTGTGGGGAGGCAGAACTGAGGTTTGAACTTGGCTTCATGCTTGCTAGGTTGGTGCTATGCCTGTGAGCCAGGTCTCTGGCTCACAGGCATTATTGTAAACATTTACATTTATGTAAAATTTTGTACTGTGTATTCACACGATCACCATGAGACGTATTCTTGTTACAATTTGGAAATAAAGGCTCACAGGAATAAGGCCTGTGTTCATGTTCACTAAGTTAATTAAATGGACAGACTGAATATAGGCAGCTCAAAAGCTAGCTTACATGTTAAGCAATTTACTCAAGTGCTTCTAAGTTAGAATTCATTTGCTTGCAAGAGATAGGAATTCAACTCAAATGAGCTTGGCAACTAGGATATTCAATAATTCACTAATTTGAGAATTTCAGAGGTGAATTCTTGCTTCAGGCACACCTGAATCACATTCATTTGCTTACCCTCTCTAAAGATAATATTATGTTGATCTCTTCTGGACTTTAGTTTTCAATGAATGAATAGGATGACTTACGTAGGGCTGGAATATAGTGGTAGAGTGCTTGCTTCACTCATGAAGCCCTGGGTTCCTCAATACCACATAAACAGAAAAAGCTGGAAGCAGTGCTGTGGTTCAAGTGGTAGAGTACTAGCCTTGAGCAAAAGAAGCTCAGGGTCAGTGCCCAGGCCCTGAGTTCAAGCTCCAGGACTTGGGGGTACGGGGGGAGATGACATCCGTAGGCCTACATTTTCCTATGTTAACACCCATAGTAAACCAATCTTCCCTAACTCATCAGGAATATATCCAATCTAGAGATGATTTATTGGCCTTATTTGACTCATGCTCACAGGCCAACTTCTGTGGTCAGAGAATAAAATGCTGTTAATAGCTCCACTGGTTCTAATGTTTCAGTATGTATTGATTATGGAGAGACATATGATTGACCATCTACCTCTACCCCTTTCCATGGATTGGTAAAAGAATATTAAGGAAGAGAGGTTGGCAAATGAAATTGTTAACCACATTTTGAATCAGGTGCTCATCTCTTTTCAGGGCCATGTCTTAAGGAAAGTAGTATTTGAGGTAGTATGTACAGTAAGCACCTACTGTAGTTTCACCATTAAAATTATACAGTTTTTAATAATTCTTGTTTCCTGAGTGTTTATTTCTTTACATAAAGGTTGCAGCATCAAGTTAAAAGGCATAATCTGATAGTGGCTTCCTATGATGTTGTGAGGAATGACATAGATTTTTTTAGGTAAGAATTTAAATATTCTATAGAAAAGTAGTATCAAATTTGAAGAAAATATTTTCTGTATTTGAGTTTCTAATTTAGCAAAAGATACTAAAGTTTCTTTATTCTCCATTAGAAATATTAAATTCAACTACTGTATTCTTGATGAAGGTCATGTCATTAAAAATGGAAAAACAAAGTTGTCCAAAGCAGTAAAACAACTGACAGCTAATTATAGGATTATTCTTTCTGGAACACCAATCCAGGTAACTTATTTACTATTTTTTTTCTATTAAAAATATTTGCATATGAAGAAGAGGCATTGTATTTGTTTCTGAATTAGTTTGTGAGGTTGATATTCCAGTTGTGTGTTGTTTTATAATGGTTCATTTGGCATTTAGCACTGTCTCAAACCAGGTTTTGAAGGTCACATTTAAGATACAGTTTTAAGCTATGTAATTATGTAATTTAAGCTATGTAATTATGTCCAAAATATGAAAGATACTAGATTCTACACTGACCATTCTTTTTTCTTTTTCGTTTTGTTGGTCAAGGGGCTTGAACTCTGGGCTTGGGCACTGTCCCTGTGCTCTTCAGCTCAAGGCAAGCGCGAACCACAACATCACTTCCCGGTTTGTGGATGGGGGGGGGAGTAATTGGAGATAAGAGTCTCACAAACTTTCCTGCCCGAGCTGGATTTGAACTTTGATCCTCAGATCTCAGCCTCCTGAGTAGCTAGGATTACAGGCATGAGCTACTGGTGCCTGGTGGACCATCCTTATAGATTATTAGGTTGCAGTCTAATCTGATATAGCACTGAAAAGCTAGAGCTCATTAAAGAGGAGTTATCATATAGTGTGAATTCTTGTTGTCAGGAAACAACTAAAGGGAAGCAGTTAGAAGTTTATTTTGGACAAATAAGGAAATGGGTGGGTATGCAGGTATCTTCACATACTTCTGCATTAAATTGGACACAAGTGTTCACATCCAGCCTGGATAGTGAATTCTGGTAAGAATATCTCCCTGTTTATTCGCCAGTTAGTGGGAAGTTAAACACCACATGATTCTTTCTGAATCTCAAAAATTGATGGCTCCTTATTACTTTTTCTTATTTTTTTAAAATTATTATAAAGGTTAGGGTTCATTAAGTGAACAACCATGAGAGACACATTTAGCCAGTTACCGGTGGCTCACTCCTGTAATCCTAGCTACTCAGGAGGCTGAGATCTTAGGTTCACGATTCAAAGTCAGCCCAGGCAAGAAAGGTCCTTGAGTCTCTTATCTCCAGTTAACCACCAAATAAAACAGAAGTGGTGCTGTGGTTCAAGTGGTAGAGTGCTTGCCTTGAGCTGAAGAGCTCAGGGACAGCACTCAGGCCCAGAGTTCAAGCCCCACAACTAACCAAAAAATAAAGACAATCACAAACCTTTCTCAGTTTGTCTGTTTTTGCAGTGCTAGGGATCAAATCCAGGGTCACACATGGTAGCTAATCTAAGTTGCTGAAACCTGGGCTTTAGATCCCAGGCCCAACTCCATGGATTCCATATGTCAGGTCTGGCCACTTCATCCTCCTTGACAAAGCAGGTTTATTAGCACAGGCATACCAAAAGAAGAGGTAAAGTGAGCCTGTTTTTGGAGTACCCATAGGATCTTTATGTTTAAATAGAGAAAGAAATAATGGCAAGGGACAAAAGGTATACCCAATTAAATTTTCCCAGTCATTATGTGTGACTAGTCAGTCAGTATCTCAGTCCTGGTTTTGACAAGAATTGAAGTTTCGAGGTATTCCTTGGAGGAAGACAGATGAGCACAAATCCTTGTTTGGCTTAGTGGTCTGTCCTAAGGGAGTTCTGAAGTTCCTTCCCTTGGGGGCCAGATTTTTCCTTCCCTCCTTGTAAACATCTTATCAGTCAGTCAGTTGTGTCCCTCCTGGGTTCCAGGTCACTGTGGTGAAAGGTTCAGAGCCAGGACATATGCAGAAATGGAGGCATCAGGATGCCAAGCTTTCTCCTGTTTTTTTACTTTATATGCCCAATTAAGTCCAGAGCTTTTCAGTAAAAGCAGCTTCTATAGATGTACAGGTTACAACCAAAAGTGTTTTTGTTTTTAAGATACATTTAAAGGGAGGAAAAAAAATTCTTTAGGCTTTATTTATCCAGACTTGTTTTACTTCAATTTAAAATTATGTAGAGGGCTGGGAAGGTGGCTCAGTGGTAGAGCGCTTGCCTTGCATGCATGAGGCCCTGGGTTCCATTCCTCAGCACCACATAAGCAAAAAGAAAAAAGCCAGAAGTGGTGCTGTGGCTCAAGTGGTAGAGCGCTAGCCTTAAGCTGAAGAGCTGAGGGACAGCGCCCAGGCCCAGAGTTCAGGCCCCACAACCGGACCCAAAAAAAAAATAAAAATAAAAAATAAAATTATGTAGAATTCTGGATATAAATAAAGAACATTATAATCTTACCACTCAGGAAGCAAAGATAGGAAGATATATGAGATAGACAGACAACACACCACAATATTTTTTTATGGTACTGCATTTTTTGGTCTAGACATTAAAAGTATTGGGGGGAGGGGGTTATCTAATTAAATTCTGAAGCTGTCAGGTGGGTTTCTGTGCTGCAGAGTCTCAGTGAGATTAGAAGGGTATCCATATAGAGTAGCCCGGCATAGGGAGCCAAAGCCTGAGCAGGATAAGGTAGGAGAGAGAAGCAGGGAGGGTACATTAGGATCTATATCTTGGAAACTATCCAGTTGAAAAAGTGCTGGCTTCATTTTGTTTTGTATCTTCCCCCATTAAACTTCCAACAAAATTTAAAAGAAGTTTGCCTCATATCCCATAAATTATGAAATCAAACTCTTACAGATTTTTCTTGTTGACATGATTATTGGCTAGATTCCTTAAGTGTTGTCAATTTCATTATCAAAGCTGAATTCAAAGAAATAACTTTCTGTCCTATTATTTTTTAGATACTATAATTATGTTTAGGCTCATATCTCATCCCAGTGGAAGAGATTTCTCCATGGGCACAGATCTAAATTTAACATTAAAATAGAGACATTCCACCTAAGAATATGATGATAATCTCTTACCTGTGTCATCATGATGAGCTTTCACTAATGTTATATTTTAAGTATAAGGAAGTAACCTCACTGCAAAATATAACATTTTTTTTTTTATATTTAGAACAATGTTCTGGAGCTGTGGTCATTATTTGATTTCCTCATGCCAGGATTTTTGGGTACTGAACGCCAGTTTGCTGCTCGATATGGCAAACCTATATTAGCAAGTAGGGATGCTCGAAGTTCTAGTCGAGAACAAGAAGCAGGTATGAAAATAGATAGTTAAAATTGCTGTGTCAGTGAATATTATTTATTCTTTTTTTGAAGCCATATTCTCTTACTACTAGGTGTTCTTGCAATGGACGCACTACATCGCCAGGTCCTGCCATTTCTTTTGAGGAGAATGAAAGAAGATGTTCTGCAGGATCTTCCACCTAAAATTATTCAAGACTATTATTGTACTCTCAGTCCTCTCCAGGTTAGGTGATTGGTGGTGGTGGTTGGTGGTATGTTATTAGCAGAATGTTTTGAATCAGGTTCAAAAATAATTGAGTAAAGAGGTTTTAATCTATGTTTTACTTTCCCAGGCTTTAGGACTGAATCTGTTTTGATATGTAGACATGAGTTCAGATGCATACAGTTTGAATACAGCATTAAAATAAGTCCAGTGTCATTCATAGTTGCTTTTCTGTATGGATAGTTAAAGAGTTGTGAAGGTAGATTCATGAGAAGATGGTCTTTTATCCAAGGAGGTTACATTCTAAGACACTGTAGTTAAAGCCTGAAGCTACTAGTAGTACTGAACCTATATGTATACTAGGTTTTACTCTCACCATTAATTGTACCAACTTAAAAATAAAAGTTGTTTATTAGCAACTTTTAATCTTTTACTGAAAGAAAACACAGTATGGCTTCTCTTTGGCATATACAAATTTCTAGCATCACTAACTCTTGTACTGTAGGGCCAATATTGGGTGAAAATAAAATACAGATTGTTTAGCAAGCCATTTTTCACTTAATATTTTCAGATCACAGAAATTAAAAGTGGGTGTAGGCAGATAGTAAGTATAAGCTAGGGTTTACTAGGGCCAAAAATCAGCCTATAGATGATGTCATATCATCTATACAATAGCATTATAAGTATTGATAATCTTCATTTCTGCAAATAAGGAAAGCAAAGAAGAATTAACTAGTTATAGAGTTAAGATATATTAGGACCAGGATTCAAGTCTAGGTAGTCCTTTTTAAAATATTAAATGTTTTCTGAAATGTTTTGAGTTATTTTTTTTTACCTTTTTCACAGTTCTGATTTTGTATATAGAAACTATTACCAGAGAAATTTATTGTGAACCTTGCCTTGTATTTTTCTAAGGATGTAAATTGAAACTGTTCCTTGTCTTAGTAAGACGTAGCCCCTGAGCCTGAATTTTCTAGCTGATTTAGCGTGGCCAAATGAATAAAAGATTCACAGATGCAGCTAGAATCTTTTCCTCCTATAGTGTATAGATAGCTTGTTAGCAGTTCTGGTCTAGTCAACTAGAGTTTAATCTGGAGTCTGAAAGCTTTCTAATTCTCTTACACTTCATCTCTGTGGTTCCCCATTCTTTGATTTGTATAAGTTAGATTAGTATTTCTTGAAAAGAATATTTTAGCAGAGTAAAATTTTAAAAATACTGTCACAGTAGATAGAATAAGGAAAAGATGCTATATGAAAAAAAAAAAATCAGTGGCAACATACAAACAAGCTGGGGGAAGGGAACTCCAGAAAGAAGCTTAGCACTCAGAAGTTTTTATTCTGATTTCTGTTCTTTAGCTTTCTGGATTTTATTCCTTTTGTGTTGTTTAGCATGTGCATTGTAGTAACCCAGAACACAAGAAGGTAATGTTTTAACCTTTAATGACTTCTCTTTTTAGACTAGCAGTAACATTCCTTTTAAAATTTGGTCTCAACAGATTTAAGGAAGACTTTTCTCCTTTACTTGTGAACATTCATGTTCTTTTTTATTGATAATGTATTTGTTTTTCTGAATCTGCATTTCATCAGTGAAAGCATTGAATCAAGGACTATTGGAATAATATATTCTATAGCCATACTTAATGTGTTATATATTAATGTAATCGTAAAGGAACTTACCAAAATAGATATGTGGTTTATTTAGTAGTGAATTTTAAGCATCATAATTTGTCATCATGAGGGTTGATTTGATTTACTGATTTGCCCTTGATACTTACATTTTGAAAACTGAACACACAAACATGCGTGTGTGTGTGTGTGTGTGTGTATGTATGTATGTATATATACACACACACACATATATATAACTGGTTTTTTTTTTTATGGGGGCAATGTTACAGGTTCAGCTTTATGAAGATTTTGCTAAGTCTCGTGCCAAGTGTGATGTTGATGAGACTGTTTCTTCAGCTGCACTTTCTGAAGAAACCGAAAAACCAAAACTTAAAGCTACAGGTCATGTATTCCAGGTATAGATAGCTGATAGTCTACTTGTTTTTTAATGGAACAGTTTTTTTATATGGAATACTGAAATAAAGAGAGTTTTTTTGTTGTTGTTGGTTGTGGGGCTTGAGCTCTGGGCCTGGGCACTGTCCTTGTGCTCTTCAGCTCAAGTCTATCACTCTACCACTTGAGCCACAGTGCCACTTCCGGTTTCCTGGTAGTTAGTTGGAGATCAAGTCTCACAGACTTTCCTGCCTGGGCCACGTTTCAGCCTCCTGAGTAGCTAAGATTACAGGCATGAGCCATGGGTGCCTGGCAAGAGTTTATTTTTATCTATTCAATATTAGCACTTTAAAAAATCTGTAATATTAGCTACATACTGGTGTCTCATACCCAGAATCCTAGCTACTTGAGGCAAAGATTAAGATGATTGTAGTTCAAGGCCTGTCCAGGCATACATACAAGAACTCTTCTCAACGGTATCTCAGAAATAACCAGTGCAAAAAGGTGCAGGTGTGGCTCAGCATAGAGCCACCTGCCTAGCAAGCATGAAGTATCCTCCCAGTATGCTCCCCCTGCAAAAAAAATTAAGTGGACAAAATTTAATATATTTTTGTACGTTACGTGTTTGTATAACTGTGAAGAGTTTTAGAATCAAGAATCTTGATTTTTCATTAAAAGTCACTTGGAGCACCTACCACATGGCAGGAACTTTCTAAGCCCCTAGGTTAGTTAATAGTGGAGTAAACATTGAGGGGATGTAGCCTTTTTTTTTTTTTGTCAGTTGTGGGCCTGAACTCTGGGCCTGGTCACTGTCCCTCAGCTCTTCAGCTCAAGGCTAGTGCTCTACCACTTGAGCCACAGCACCACTCCCGGCTTTTTCTGTGTATGTGGTGCTGAGGAATTGAACCCAGGGCCTCATGCATGCAAGGCAAGCACTCTACCACTGAGCCACCTTCCCAGCCGGGGGGTGTAGCTTATGAGTAGAGTCCTTGCCTAGTATGTACGAGCCCCTAGATTTAGGTTTTTGGTTTTGTTTTCTTTTTTTCAGTGCTGAGACTCACATCTTACACTTGCTGGGCAAATGCTCTTCCACTGAGTTCAATCCCAACCCCAAGGCCCTGCATCAAAAAACTAACAAAAGAACAGAGAAAAACACTCTTGTAGAAATGAAAAATAGTAAAATACATATGTAAGAAAAACTAAAGCTGAGCTGGGAATGTGGCTTGGTGGTAGAGTGCTTCCCTAGTCTACATGTGCCCTGGGTTCAATTCCTTGGTAACTACATAAAGAAAAAATGAAACTAAAAAAAAGAAAAAGAAAAACTAAAGCTGAGAATAGGATCCTGGAGTTAGGAGTACAGGTAGATTATATAAGGGCACCTCACTGAGAAAGTGATATTTGAGCAAGATCTGAGGGACAGTTGATATGTGCAGATATCCTAGACAGATCCTATCTCCTAGGAGGATTAGTAAATGAAAGAGATGACATTGTCAACTCTTTTTTTTCTCTCTTGAAATAGTTCACCATAGAAGATTAAGTATTGAAGCATTTTTAATGTGGAGGGGAAAAGATGACTATAAAGATTTATACTTCTCCACAGTTTTTAGCATAATGTTGAATGGTGTCTGAGCTTTGTCACTGGTGTTTCCTAATTCAAATTCCTGTGCCAAGGGTGAGAAATGAGAGGAGAGAAAGGAAAAGAAGAGGGGAGAGATGGAGAAGGGAAAGGAGAGAGGAAGAATGTAGTTAAATCAGAGAAGAGACCCTATAGGGTTCTGTTTCTCAGTCAGAATCAACTGAAGCAGTCTCTTAGCTCCACCACCCACCCTTAGACCTACTGTATTAGAATACTGTCTAATTAGACTAGGGAGAGATGGGCACGTTTATAAGGTCCCCAAGAAACCTGTACCCCCTGAACTTTGAGAAATCCTTTTTTAGATGTATCTGTCTGCATTATCAGACCCTTTGGAAGGTTTCTAAAGGGGATATTCTTTTTCCTTCCTTCCAAACTACTCACCCACTAGCACATTGTATCTGTTGGGTAAATGTTGTACTACTAATTTACATTACAGCCCAAAACATCCTTTTTGCTACAAGAAGCTCATTATCTACTGGAGGATACAGGCATATTTTTTCAACTCACAAATGGCCTTGTAGAAATATATACATTATTTAAAAAATTATAGATGGGAGCTGGGAAGGTGGCTCAGTGGTAGAGCATTTGCCTTGCATGTATGAGGCCCTGGGTTCGATTCCTCAGCACCACATAAGCAAAAAGCCGGAAGTGGCGCTGTGGCTCAAGTGGTAGAGTGTTAGCCTTGAGCTGAAGAGCTGAGGGACAGCGCCCAGGCCCAGAGTTCAGGCCCCACGACCGGACCCAAAAAAAAAATATATATATATAGATGAAACATTTGACCTGATTTTTTTTTTCCTTATTGACAGGGCTTGAGTCCAAGGCAAGTATTCTACCACGAGTGCCATCCTATGCTATTGAATTTTTATTTTGAGATAGTTTTGCTAAGTTGCCCCAGCTGGCCTTGAACTTTCCATTCTTTTGCATCTGTCTCCAAATTAGCTCAGATTGCAAATGTGTGCCACAGTGTCCACCTGAACTGGTTCTTAAGTCAAAATTTGTGAAGGAAAAACGGGAAAAAAGGCATTCTAGACAGAATAGCCATGAAGACACAGAAATACAAACATGTAGTGTTATGAAATGACTTGGATTACACCTTTTCCTTCTTTTAAAGGCATTACAGTACCTACGTAAACTGTGCAATCATCCAGCATTAGTCTTAACACCTCAGCATCCAGAATTCAAAAGTACTACTGAAAAACTAGCAGTTCAGAATTCCTCTCTTCATGATATTCAACATGCTCCTAAACTTTCAGCTTTGAAACAAGTATGTATGTCTTTTAAGGGTAAGATATGTTTTAGGTAAATTTGCTTTACCCAAAGATTATTGAAGTGTTTACCATTTACTTTTTAAAAATTTGGCTTCTTAGATTTTTTATACAGGTTTAAAAAAAAAAATATGTGCCATATTAACTTTGTTTATGGAGACAGTCTCACTGTGGAGTTTCAGGTTGGTCTGGAACTCATGACCCACCTCAGCCTTCCAAGTGCTGGGATTACATGTCTGGACAGTTTAACAGGTACCCCCCCACACACACACACACGCACGCACGCACTGTGATCTTTAATCTGTGTTCTGTGTGAACCTCCTTTAAAATGTTTCATGTAAAATAGAGCATGAGGCTGTAAGTTGTAGTCTCAGAACTGGCAAGGGAGGATGGGAGACATATTTGTCCTTTTTTGATTGGCTTTCTTTCACTTAGTATAATGTTTTTAAGGCTTATCAATTTGTAGCATGTATCAGTCCTTCATTCCCTTTTATGGATGAATAATAGTCCACTGTAGATATCTGCCCCGTTTTGTCTGTTTGTGGGTTGCTTTTGACCATTGTGAATAATGAATGCTTCAGTGAACATTGGCTTACAAATACCTATCTGAATGCCCCTTTTTGCTGTTTTCTATTCCCACAAGCAGTATACCAAGGTTCCAATTTGTCCCCACACCCTTAGTTTTATTTTGCTGTTGCTGGTGTGACACTTTTTTTTTGGAGGGGGGGTCCAGTCGTGGGGCCTGAACTCTGGGCCTGGGCACTGTCCTCAGCTCTTCAGCTCAAGGCTAGTGCTCTACCACTTAGCCACAGCGCCACTTACGGCTTTTTTCTTTTTGCTTATGTGGTGCTGAGGAATTGAACCCAGGGCCTCAGGCATGCAAGGGAAGCGCTCTACCACTGAGCCACCTTCCCAGCCCCTGTAACACTATTTTTATTCTGTGTTTTATTTGATATTCTATAGTGACTGTTGTTGAGTTTGTTAGCTAGTGTGTGTGTGTGTGTGTGTGTGTGTGTTTGTCGGTCGTAGGGCTTGAACTCTGGGCCTGGGCGCTATCCCTCAGCTCTTCAGTTCAAGGCGAGCGCTCTATCGCTTGAGCCACAGCACCACCTGTGTGTGTTTTTTATTGCCCATACAAGTCCTTTATTTTTTGAGTGAACTCTTTTGTTTAAGTTCTTTATATTCTGAATACTATTCAGCTTACTAGTGCTTATTTGATACATGATTTCCAAATATTTTCTCCTTTATTAAAGTTTCTCTCCCATCCTTCCTTGCCAGTCCGGGATTTAAACTCAGGGCCTCATGCTGTCACTTGTCTTTTCTGATAATAGGTGGTATGCTAATACTTGAGCCATGCCTCTAGTTCAGGCTCTTGTGCTGGTTAAGTGGTAATAAGTCTCTGTCAGATTTGTCTGTCCTGGCTGGCTTTGAACCTGGGTTCTCAGATATGTCTCCTGAGTAACTAGGATTATAAGCATGAGCATCTAACACCTAGCTTGCTAATGTTTACTTTCTTGATAATGTTCTTGATTTAAAAGGTTAGACTAAATAAATTTTGAGAACCGAAATATTAACACTAATACAGTTCAGTTCTAATTAGTCTTAAAAAGCCTAAACTTTAGTAATTGATTTAACTGGCAATATTCTGTACTAAATTTCAAGAATAACTAGTGTTTGGAGATTTTAGATTTGACATAGGTTAATGTAAGTTATTGTAATATCTATATAACAATATGTGTGTGTATATATGTATACATATAGATGCATCTCTTTATTACTAACATAAAACAATGGATTGCCATATAAAATTGAAGAATAACTAACTTGGATTGGCTTGGATATAGAATAATTTTTTTCACTTGACCAAACTTTACTATAGGCATATATATAAAATGTATATAATTTTCTTTAGAAAAAGATATCAGATATGTGTATTTAAACAATCAACTAATGCAGGGCACTGGTGGTTCATATTTGTAATCTTAGCTATTATGCAGGAGGCTGAAATCTGAGGATCATGGATCAAAGTTAGTCTGGGGAAGAAAATCCTTGAGACTCTATCTCCAATTAACCACTAAGAAGATAAAGTGGAACTCAAATGGTAGAGCACTAGCCTTGACTAAAAAAAGCTCAGGGACAGAGCCAGTTCCTGAGTCCAAGCCCCAGGACTGACACTCTTTAGATCTATTCAAATAAAAACTGGATTTTATTTGCATTTGAATTACACATTTATTAGTTTTCTTTTCAGGTTACAAGTAAGTTTAACTTTTTCTTGGCCTAGAAATGTTTGTCACAGTGAGATTGGTTATCTTTTTATTGAATACCTGTGTAATGACCTTTTATTCCCCAAGTTGCTATTGGACTGTGGTTTGGGAAATGGCAGCACTTCAGAGAGTGGCACAGAGTCTGTTGTGGCCCAGCACAGAATACTGATCTTCTGTCAGCTTAAAAGCATGCTTGATATAGTAGAACATGATCTGCTCAAACCTCACTTGCCCTCTGTCACTTATTTGAGATTAGATGGCAGCATACCTCCTGGTCAGAGGCATTCAATTGTTTCCCGGTAAGTAGTTTCCAGTCTGTTACTATAAATCAAGCTTAGTAAATTCATTAGCATTTACATTATTAAAGTTTGCCTCACGAGTCTGCAAATGTAAACTCTCTTATTGTACTTCAACCCAAATAAAACTTCTTGTAAAGTAGAACTAGCAGTTAAATAAATGGTTTAGAAAATAAGTATGATTATATTAGGACTCTGAAAAGCATGAAAGAAATTTAAGGTAACTACTTTCCCCCATTGTTAGTAGGGGGCTAAGGTGGAAGGAAACAAGTAGCTTGGCCTAGAATTTCCAGCCTATTTATCTTCTAAGAATGAGTTAGAAACAGCCCACATAGGAAGTAGAACTGGATGTGGTTCTGTAACCTCTGCTTCAGGAGTTGCTGTCCTAAAACTGTGCAGATTTCTAGGTTTACTCCCAGCTTGCTGACTTCAGGAGTAGCATTTCTGATAAACATAAAGACTGTTATGCACAATTGAAGTAAGCAATTCACAAAGGGGCTTTGAAGGCATACAGATCCAAGTTGGCCTCCTGATTCTACTTATTTTAGTAGTGTTCCCAATCTTTCTCTAAAATAGGAATATATGCAAGTAACAATGCATATAAAGTATAAAGCCCACCATTTGGATCATAGTAAGACTGTATTACAATGGTAGCTTAGTGGCTGTTGTTTTTGATGTTAGTAATACTAATAGTTTTTTCTAAAATATCCTAAAAGTGAATAGATGTATTTTGTCAGTATCTTTCAGGATTAGTAAATTTAGCAACCCTGAATACTCTGCCTTCACTGAATGGTGTAACCTGTTTTCACTCTTCATACTTGGATTTTGTCTTAATTATAGTGTTTCCTTATATTATTTTGCAACTTAGACTTCATCTGATGTAAAGTATAACTGGCCTGGTTTTATTTCTGTTTATGAAATTCTGATAATTGCTAAAATGTGTTGTTTAAAGGTATTTTATAAATAAAGATACTTTAATCTCAAATGATCACAGAAGTATCTGTTCAATAGCTTTTTAAAGCAATGTTTTAATTTTGGCTCTCTCATTTTTATTTAGCAGTTTTTTGTTAATCCCCGGTGAGAAAATGCACTAATTTCATTTTCTTAACATCTGTGCTTTCAGGTTTAACAATGATCCATCCATAGATGTTCTGTTACTTACAACTCATGTTGGTGGCCTGGGGCTTAACTTGACAGGCGCTGATACTGTGGTATTTGTGGAGCATGACTGGAATCCTATGCGTGATCTACAAGCCATGGACCGGGCCCATCGAATTGGCCAGGTAAAAGTCACCTCACAGGTTTCAATTTGTGTATTGAGGAAATAGTCCCACCAAAGAACATCTTCTTTGCAAGTTCTTGCTCTGACATAAATAAATAAATGTTGGGACCTCATACAGGTCACCTAATTCATGCATTAAATAAGGTACTTAAGCAAACTTGTACCACTGTTATTCCCTAATATTCTGAAGTTCCTGCAAATATTTCAGCTTCTAGGTCAGACAAAATAAAAACCCAAACCCAATTAGGGTCATAGAGGTACTGGTATGGAAATAGAAATTTCCTGACTTTAATTTCATGTTATAGTTACTTAACTCTTTTTTCTCATTCAGAAACGTGTGGTTAATGTTTATCGATTAATAACCAGAGGAACATTGGAAGAAAAAATAATGGGTTTGCAAAAATTCAAGATGAACATAGCAAACACTGTTATTAGCCAAGAGAATTCAAGTTTGCAGAGTATGGGAACAGATCAACTTCTTGATCTGTTTACTCTTGATAAGGTAATGAATATATACAATTGTTTTGTTTTTAATGAGTCCCTGGGCTCTCCAAAAGAGGGAAAAATTACACAAGTTTTATGTTCATTATGTAACTCTTTGGAAGAATTTTTCTTACCTATATTAAAAAAAACTCTTTAGCATATTCTGAGCTGTTGGAAATATTGGGGCTTTAATTGATATTTCTGGTATCTTGCTTCAAGATTTCATTCCTTAGTTCATTCTTACTCAAAAGGTCATCTTAGCACTAGAGTCAGCGAAACTTAATGGCTGGGGGTTTCTGGCTCATTAACTCTAACCTTAGGCAAATTATCTTCTTTTGGCATCTACACCTATTTTACTACATTGCTATTGAGGGTAAAAGTAAATAGTAATAAGTAAGTAGTAACAACATCAATCTCCTTCTAGAAATGGTTTTCAAAAGCCCAAATTAATTTCCAAATCTTTTTTCAGAGATGACTATTGTCCCAGTTTGGAGAAACTGAATAACCATGGGTCCAGATAGACACTGTCTTTATTCCTAATGATGAGAAATTATTCCCTCTGACTTTCAGTGAAAGTTATACACAATCTTTATTTTCTCTTTCTAGTACTGAAATATTAGGGTGATACATGCATGTTATTAAAAATTAAGGTCAAACACTTAAAAATAATCTTGTATTAGAAACTTGACATCTATCATAAGTCTCTTCTTTTTGGAAGTCATACTGGGCATGTTAGATGATCTAGTTCCACTGTTGTTAACATTTAGGAAGCAGAAAATTCCAGCTACTTCGAACTGGAGGTTTAGTTACTGCATTACTGACTCCTTGTGGGTTCAATAAGGTCCACTCCCCTTCCTCTAGCAGAATTTGCTCCTGGATTCTGGGATTCATTCTTCAGTAGCTTTTTGGCTATTGTCTGAAACTATCATTTACATTCATTGATATTTTAGCTGTTGTCTCCGTGAATAATAAACTGTTGTCCTCTGCATTGGATTGTGCTTCCCGGAAATTTACAGCTCTTTGCTAGATCAGCCTTGTTTCCCAATGAGGCTATTACAGTGTTAGGACTTGATTGCCTCTGAAGTTCTTTAGTCCACTTTTTTTTGCTCTTGTAAAGGACTCATTTGTGATATCATACACAACTATGGCTGCTTGTGCTCTGCAGTACATTGGTGCCAGGCTATGATAGCTCTTTTGACCAACTACTATATCCCTTATTTCAAACCTTACTTTTGGGTCATCAAGACTCACAGATTGAGTTAGAAAAGCAGCCTCAGTGGTACTCTTGAAATTCATGAAATTAGCCTTTCACAAAACATGGCACTAGACTTGATTTTTCAGCAATAGATTCTTCTAGAAGTAACTAGTTCAACCTGGTGAATTTTATTTTCAGTTTTTAGCCCATTGCGTCTTGTTGCTCCTTGATTAGACATATCCACATTTGAAAGAAGTCCCTAATTTCACAGTGCTAAGTGAACTTCCAGGATGCAGGGCATCAATTTTGTTTTCTTTTTGGAGGTAAAGAAACCTTAGCTTCCTGGAAGTAAAGCCCAGGTGTGGTCTGGAGAACGGATGAGGTCTGGGTGGTGACAGTGGCAGTGGTAGTGGTGGAGGTGGTGGCAGCATCTCCTGGCACCTCTCACTATACTGTTTGTTTAGTATTTAATTCACCTGACTAGTATTATATATCCATATATATCCACTGTATATGGGGGGGGGACCAAAGACAAAAGCAAATACAACAAAAGTACCATAGTACTTTGTAATGCTGTTGGATTTTTTCCACATAAAAATTAGTAAGAAGCCAGGTGCTGGTGGCCCACTCCTGTAATCCTAGCTACTCAGGAGGCTAAGATATGAGGATTGAGGTTCAAAGCCAGCCTGGGCAGGAAAGTCCGTGAGACTCTTATCTCCAGTAAACCACTAGAAAATTGGAAGTGGCACTGTGGCTCAAGTGGTAGAGCGCTTACCTTGAGCTGAAGAGCTGAGGGACACCACCCAAGCCCAGAGTTCAAGCCCCACTACCAACCAAAAAAAAAAAATTAGTAAGGAAAAGTACTATAGTTGCAGGGACATAGAATAAGTACACATGAATAAGTACAGTATTAGAAGCAAGTCTAATATTTTAAAGGAAAATATTCTGAAGTTAATTATCTTTTATCTTTTGCCAATTTTTCTTAAGGATGGCAAAGCAGAAAAAGCTGACACTTCAACTTCTGGAAAAGCAAGTATGAAATCAATTCTTGAAAATCTGAGTGATCTTTGGGATCAAGAACAATATGATTCAGAATATAGCCTGGAAAATTTTATGCATTCTCTCAAGTAACTGTCAAATATTGTGAACGTAATTGCTGCTAGTTCAGTTACATTTCTGCTGATATTCAGCAAATTTCTAAGTTTATGGTGAACTTTTAACTCAATGTGTAAATAGATCTGAAGAATATTCAGCATAATGCTGGCTCTTGTTTCACTGGGGGGAACAAGTTATTCTCAAATATTTGCACTGTATTAAATTTAAATGTTAATGTGAAAGGGTTTAAATTGTATGTGCTGAATAGCTGCAGAGCAGAGGAACCAAACCAGGTTTACATGTGCTACTACCAGGAGGTGTTCGTACGGGCCGAGCCTCTTCTCTGTGGAGTCACTTTGTCCAGGATGATGTCCATGGGTATTTGGGGTTCATGTACATTTTTTCTTTAAAATATATAAAGCTTGTTTTTATAATTGATTAAAAAATAGAGCTTTTTCTGTAAAAGCCTTAATGAGCCATAATTTTAAGAATAATGACTATGATAGTCAATTTTGGAACATGAAAATGTTGATGAGTTAAACTAGGCCCTTGTTGAAAACCTTTATATATTTAATGCAGGTGCATAGTGTTTTTCAAATCTTTAACATCATTTTGTCAACTTTTAAATATAACTATCTAAATTCAGGTACTGGTATATTTAAGACTACCATAACATCCTACTAAGAGGGTGGTTTGTTTGTTTTTTTTATTTATCTAATGGCTAGAATATAGCCAGATTCAAAGAACATGTGTACTCAATAAGTTTCAATCATATATATAAATATATATAATATATTTTGTAACTATGAATGATCCAATTTTTCAGAAGTAGATTTTACACTGTTTAGAATTCCAAAACCTATGGTGAAGACTGTTTATTGTAGTAATGCATGACTGAAACTTAAGAGGGAGATATAACTCCCCTCTTACATATATACACACAAGCATACATGAGTATACACATCTGTATGCACAGATGTGTCTGTCCCATACTCACAGAGGTGCCTGGTTGGGCACGAAAATCATGTAATTATACCAGGCAGCAATAATTGAGCATAAAGCCAATTAACTAGTATTACAAAAATGAGCTCAATAGTGAGGGTGGATAGATGTATATAGATATGCATGTGTGCATATGTATATATAATTTTATAAATTTCCTACATAAATTAATACATGCCTATGTGCATACACATATATGGAATATATTTGTATATATGTACAGAAAATAAACATCCCCAAGGTTTGTGTCAGACCATACGCTTAGGTATCAATTTAAAAACCATCAGACCTCAGCTGTACAATAACAAGTGTTTTGTTTAAAATTATAAAAGTTATACTGTTCTGCAGCACTTAGACATGGACATGTGTCACATTTCAGTAGCCTGACAACCATACTGTAACATTCAACCTAGCATTCCACAAGAGAATAAATATAAGATTGAAATTGTACAACATATGCAATTGTGTGTTATTTGTAGGAAATAATCAGAAAAAATGATTGATTTTATATATATATAGTTCAGATACACAGGTTTTTAAAAGCTCAACACTTTTTTAAAAAAAAAACTTTGCTATTTCCATAGATCAACTTTTAAGGTAGTTCATAGCAATCGGTATTTTCTAAAAAGGTGTATGAAGAAGAGATAGTAAAGGACACAAGAATTTACACCCTAAAAATTAAAGGGTTATTTTGTGCCTCCACACCCCAATTTGAACAGTAGAACTAGGTACAAAATATTTAAACATAATATTAAAAGGTTTAATCTCAAAGTATGTGTATTTTTAAAATAGCCTTTGTTGTGAAATGCTAAACCATACATTCCAGTTTTTCCAAGCAAAGGAAAAATGCATAAACAGAAATTCTTAAGTGTCCCAGTCACTGTCCTTTCTAATGGAGACACAGGATAACTGCCCATGAGTGGCGTTCAGGACCCGCTGTCACTTTTATGTGTGTGATGACACTGTTTTTTTTTTTTTTAGCGTGCAAGTTTGGGAAATAAAACAAGCATGATAGAACATTAAAACTTTTAAACTAAATAATGGGTTCATGAATATCCATTGTGTTGTTTCCCTTTTTTGTGTGTTATAGAAAATTTAAAACAGTTAAACTTAATTTATAGGTGCAGCGATTATCCAGTTTACCACTGGTATTTCCTATGAGAAAATTTTAAGAATTTGGTGATCTGGATATTGTTCTTTTTCATATATGATTTATACACATACTTATTACACATATACTTATTTATTCCACAAAGATTTCTTTAAAATATCCTAATTTTTCAATACCTTATTAAAATGGTAACATGAAAGAAACTCTTTGACTTTTCCTTGGTACTAAACTGATAGACCCTTATTCCTCTGGATGTTTATGTAAGCTTATTCAAAAGTAAATATTCCAGTGAAACTATGTGAGAATGTCACCATTTATAGGCAAAAAGTGGAACTATACACACATAATAGAAATTACAGAAAAGTAACAAGTGTGCCGGGAGTCAGGGGCTCACACTTGTAATTCTAGCTACTCAGGAAGCTAAGATCTGAAGATCATAGTTTGAAGCCAGCCCTGGCAAGAAATTCTGTGAGACTCTTATCTCCAAATAAGCTCAGAAAAAGCGGTAAGTGGCACTGTGGCTCAAGTGGTAGAGTGCCAACCTTGAGCACAGTAAGGCTTAGGGACAGCACCCCTGCCCAGAGTTTAAGCCCAAGGACCAGCAAAACAACAAAAAAAAAAAAAGTAGCAAACATTTTATTATACATCTGTTCCAGATAGTTAATCCCAATACAGTCTTCTGCAGTGAACTGTCGATTTCTAAGAATACATGCTTGCTTCACTGGGATTATGTGAAATTGACTGCAGAAAGGTGTTACCAAATGCCAGAAAACTCAATGTGAATCAATAAGATAAAATTTTGAGTTAATCAAAGAAATTGCCTGGTCTTGATACTAAGCTTTCTAAGTAAACAACTAATTTAATAAAAAATTTGCCTCATAGAAATGGTTTCTGAGTCTGAGAAATTTACTCAAACCAGTCAAGTTCTGTTGCATAAAGGATCTGAGTCCTAAGACCCTTGTAGAAAGACATTTATTCTTCCCATAAAATCCACAGTGTAACTGTGTGGTAATAGAATCATCCGAACCAGAAAAAAAAATTGCTACTTCTGAATAGCTGCAAGCAGAGGAACCAATCCAGGTTTACATGTGCTACTACCAGGAGGTGTTCATATGGGCCGGGCTCTTCTCTATGGAGTCACTTTGTACAGGCAAATTTAATGGTTGGATTATACTAAATGTATTCTATAGGAAACACAACTTCTGACATCCTAAAAGCAACAAATGTAAACTTGACCTGTAAGACTACTGGGGAGCGGCAGGGGTAGGGGGAAGGAGATTCTTTTCAGTATTTTTTTTTTGGTTGGTCGTGGGGCTTGAACTCTGGGCCTGGGCGCTGTCCCTCAGCTCTTCAGCTCAAGGCAAGTGCTCTACCACTTGAGCTACAGCACCACTTCTGGTTTTCTGGTGGTTTATTGGAGATAGGAGTCTCACCGTCTCTCCTGCCCGGGCTGGCTTTGAACCACGATCCTCAGATCTCAGCCTCCTGAGTAGCTAGGATTACAGGCGTGAGCCACCAGCGCCTGGCGGGAAGGAGATTCTTGGATAAGAGTAATTTATAGAAGTTAGCAGATGCAAATATAATAATCAGAAAGACCACAAAAATATGATTAAAAGTTATAAAATGCAGTCTATCAATGAGACATAGTTTATGTGTGTGTGTGTAAACATATATATATATATATATATAGTTCATTAGATGCAATTGAAGAGAGCTTACACCTATAATCCTAGCTACCCAGAAGGCTGAGATCTGAGGATCTAGGTTGGAAGCTAGCCCAGACAGACAAATCTAATAGATTCATCTTCAGTTAACCAACAAAAAGCTTGAACTGGGGTCATGGCTCAAGTGTTAGGGTACCAGCTGTGAGTGAAAAAGATGGAGGGTGCCCAAGACTGGTGGCTCATGCCTGTAATCCATCCATATTGAGCAAAAAAGACCAGTGAAAGCTGGGCACTAGTGGCTCATGTTGTAATCCTCGCTACTCAGGAGGCTGAGATCTGAGGATCACGGTTCAAAGCTAGCCTGGCAGAAGAGTCCATGAGACTCTTCTCTCCAGTAAACTACGGAAGTAGCACTGTGGGTCTAGTGGTAGAGTGCTGGCCTTGAGCACAAATAGGCTCAGAGACAGTGCCCAGTTCCTTGGTTCAAGCCCTGTAACTGACCCCCCCCCAAATATATATATATATACACACTGTCATAGTGATATGTCTCACTGGGTCTAGCAGAGCTTAAGATGAAAGGAGAGCAGTTAATATTATTTTAGATGATTTATCAAATGTAACCCATTGAAATACATGGTATTGGGCTAGGAAGGTGGCTCAGTGGTAGAGTGCTTGCCTTGCATACATGAGGCTCTGGGTTTCATTCCTCAGCATCACATAAGCAGAAAAAGCTGGAAGTGGTGCTGTGGCTTAAGTGGTAGAGTGCTAGCCTTGAGCTGAAGAGCTGAGGGACAGCACCCAGGCCCAGAGTTAAAGCCCCACAACCAACCCCCCCCCCCAAATACATGGTATCTACACATGAAGATAACATAAAACAATTGAATGGGGTGCGGGGAGGGAAGGATAGATATAGAGTTGTAGACTTCCAATTTTGAGCTTATTCTGAACTGTTTATTTTGTGAAATTACCTACATAGAGTAGGTACATAGAGATAAACTAGTAGAAAGTAAGATCAGGCCAGAGTCATGGCTAATGAGAAAATCTAATACCTCATGAAAGGTCCAGAAAGATCTGTGTCTGGCAGTTCAGGCCAGCAGCAAGTTCTTTTTTTTTGGTCAGTAGTGGGGCCTGAACTCTGGGCCTGGGCACTGTCCCTGAGCTCTTCAGCTCAAGGCTAGCACTCTATCACTTGAACCACAGCACCACTTCTGGCTTTTTCTATGTATGTGGTGCTGAGGAATTGAACCCAGGGCCTCATGCATGCAAGGCAAGCACTCTACCACTGAGCCACCTTCCCAGCCCCGCCAGCAGCAAGTTCTATCTGTAGCTACAAACAATTCCAGATCTCTGCACCTTTCTTGATCGCTATAGTAGTAAAATAGCTATCCCTATCTTGTCTCTTCTAACTTTTAGTGGCTTCTAATTGGTCTTCCTACTTGGCAGATTCTCCAGTGGCTTCCTATCAAATTCAGACCATATCTAAATTCTGCCATATGTTTACAAGTGGTCTCTGCTCATCTCATTCACTTTCTCTTTTCATAGCCCATTCTGTTTTGTCAAGTCATTCAGTCTTTGTTGTACCTCAACATAAAACTGCAAGTGTTTCTCTAGCCTTGAGCACAGAGAGGCTCAAGAACAGAGCCCAGGCCCCAACAAGCCCCAGGACTGGCAAAAAAAAAAAAAAAAAAAACAACTACAACCAATGGTTTGGGTTCTTATACAACTGGGTAAATTGTGTCAAGGGAAAAACATAGATGACTATAAAGGGACCAGTTTGGTGGGGGGAGGGGGCGGGGGGGGTAAAGTAAGAAATCAATTCTCTTGTTCACATTAAATTTCAGATACCCATTGAATATCAGAAGTAGAGATAATGAGGTAGAATAGGAATCTGGAGATTAAAAAAAGGAAAGATCAAGACTAGAGACATATATTTGGAGGATATGATCTAAATTCAAGCCCTGGTATCCCCATAAGAAAAAAATATATCCTGCCCATGTAATTGTAACCCCTCTGTACAGTATGTTCACAAATAAAATAAAATTAAAAAAAAATAGGGGGTGTAAGATTAACTAGGAGGATATAGCAATTTGTGTGTGTGTGTGCACGTGTGCGCGTGCGTGCACCAGTAATTTGTGTGTGTGTGTGTGTGTGCGTGCACCAGTACTGGTGCTTGAACTCAGGCCTGGGCACTGTCTGAGACTAGTATTGTGCTACTTTAAACCACAGTGTCATTTCCAGCTGTTGGGTAGTTAATTGTAGATAAGAATTTCACAGACTTGGGCTGGGAAGGTGGCTCAGTGGTAGAGCGCTTGCCTTGCGTGCCTGAGGCCCTGGGTTTGATTCCTCAGCACCACATAAGCAAAGAGAAAAAAAGCTGTGGCTCAAATAGTAGAGCTCTAGCCTTGAGCTGAAGAGCTGAGGAACAGCGCCCAGGTCCAGAGTTCAGGCCCCACAAAAAAAAAAATTAAAAAACAAGAATTTCACAGACTTTACTGCCTGGGCTGGCTTTTGAACTGTGATCCTCAGATCTCAGCCTCCTAAGTAGCTAGAGTTACAAGTGTGAGCCATTGATGTCTGGCATAAGTGTTAATTTAAGTTTATTTATTTTTGTCTGTCATGGGGCTTAAACTCAAAGCTTGGGTGCTGTACCCAGCTTTTGTGCTCAAGGCTAGTGC